TCCGACACCTCGGGATACTTTTGTCTATATAAAGGTGACGCTGACGCAATCCGCGCTTCGTTTGTCCGTCCATGTTTAGCTACCGACTGTAGCGCTGGGGAGTGTGAACTTTACATTACAGGGCTCAAAGTACAAGGGAGTTAATAAAATAATTTCATGGAACCGAAGCCTTTTTGAGGACCTGATAGATACTCAATATATCAACGCATTTTAGGAAACCAGGGTTCATTTCCGTGAGCACAAGGATTACTAGCTTCATCTGAGTCAGTTGGTTCATTATCGATTTCTTATAATTTATTTAAAATGCGTTCGAATATTATATTTGAATCTACGACTGTGCCCGCTGATTGGTCTCTCTTCTGTAGGTTAACTGTCTAGAAATTTGTGTTTCTTATACCCCTATTCGCGTTACATGTTTTACCAATATTCTCATCAGCTTTGACATGTTCATACTAACAATTTAATATTTCTATTGGCGATTAGTTGCCCCTGTGAAGTAACCAATACTCCCGCCATTTTACAAATTAATATTTCAGACTGGACACGCGAATCAAATATCTGCCTCTTCATGTATATCATGACACCTGTTGTTGATTTCAAATTATATTTCTTGGGCCATATTCGTTTGGGGTGTCGACATATTTTGTAAACTGCGTGTAGTATTTCTTCCGGTTTGTTGTGCCTTTGGCTGAGACAAATGAATCCTAATGCCAGAAGACATTTTAAGCTTTGTGTTTCGTTATCGTAGTGGTCTGCTCTAAAGTTGCCACAGTTACGGCGACCTTTATGAACATTTATTGGCAACTACATTACAGCTAGTGACGTAGACAGGCAAGGGCGACTTAATCCAGTGTGTCAGCTGAATCGATAGTGATTCTCGTGAAAAATTGCAGTTTAATCCTCTTAACTCATATGTCTGCCCTGGGTTTATGGATTGGGCTGTACAACGGCGAACAGAGGGGAACAATGTCGTGTGCCGGGGGACTGAATGTTGCTACAAGTGGCACATATACGATTTGTTGAAGGCTGCAGGTAGTCACGTGTAATGCAAATAATGAAATTGGATTTTGGTGCTGCATATACAGGAGAACTGATATATGTTTTTATGTATCTGTTGAATTTATAATATTAGTGTAATTAAATATAAGAGGAAAGAATTGTGGGAGATGCGTAGTAAACATGACAAAGACGAGAAATTTATGCATAATTTTAGTCAGAAAGCCTGAAAGAAGAAAGTCACTTGGAAGACTTTAGCATATATGGGGATAATATTAAAAATGGTTTTAAAATTATATATTCATATAGAAATAATGGATAAAAGCCCAACGAATATTTTCAAACGAATTGCTGTAGATAATAATGTAATGAGAAGTATTCTTGACTTTCGAGATTTTATGTTCGCTCGATATCAAACGATAAGTTTACATGTTAGATGATCAGACGTATCGTAAGCTTTCGAGTAAGAAAATTAATAAAAATAAATTGTTTTTCCAGTCTCTTCGTAACAGTACCGCGGGCTGTCTTCTGGGTTGTTGCGCCGTGTAGTCTGGTAGAAGTTTACCGATGTTTCAGAGGTCCTTGCTGCCTCTATCATCAGGGCGATGAGTAAACCGAGCCGTGAGAACTTCAAATCCTACGAAATAATTGTTGTATACACAGAGCATAAAAAAGTACAAGGTGAGAAAGATGAGTGCCACTAGGTTTTAAACAATTAAATGTCGTCATTTGTCGAGTTTCGCTGCAGTTAACACTGCCGGTACCCCAATGGTTAAATACAGACTGAATCGAAGCATGTTGAAAGCGAAGGTGCATTTACAAAGACAATTTTATTCGCTACCCGACTTGGAGACTTGGACACTCAGGAAGAAGGAACAGAAATACCTGGAGAGTTTTGAAATGTGGTGTTGGAGAAGAATAGAGAAGATTAACACAAAGCGATACAAAGAAAAATCGGGAAAGTTTTGGACGAAATTATTTTATTTTATTTACTTATGGCTTATAAAATGACCGCCAAGCTTTAATTTAAACCAGCATTGAAAAGATACTTAATTACACACTCATTTTACTCTGTCGATGAATTTCTAATGTTTACAAGTAAGTCGTAATTTAGCTAACCGACGACCTTAAACAAGGAAAGAAGATGACGTTCCAGGAATTAAAGCGAGAAGCCGAGAATAGGGACAACTGGAGAGCTCTTTTTGGGCAGAGCAATGGACCTGTAGTAAGACAGAACACTTAATAATAATAATAACCCGACATTAATGCGGGTAGATATATGTCCGTATATGTCAGTAATTTGCATTTATTTAAAACTTCCTAGCCATTGAATGTTGGCAGTGGACTGCATTTCAAACTTTTATACGTTATTCCACGAAAACATATATCGATTTCCCCACATTATACATTCAACACATAACGTCGTTTAGAATGGAACAGGTACAAGAGGGTAAGCCGCTGAAGTATTTGAAGTAAACAGATCAATTTACTTTATAATCATTCTGGCACATAAAATTGTATACTTTAACCTTCAAAGGAGAATATAATTATTCTTCAGGCCATTTACGTAAGTGTATTTATCTTTTCAGAGGCTGAGTAAAAAACAACTTATAAAAGTGGTCGCTTATTCAGACACTTAATTCCAAAGTTTAGGCAAACATGCAATAAATAAATCTGCTGACCTTGTAAAACGCAGAAAATAGGTTTTAGGGATGGATGGATGGATAGAAGGAAGGGCAGAAATTGAGCATTGAGACAGCAATATGGCGGTTCTCTGCTTCACAAATACGAAGTGTTGATTTCATAATTTTAAATCCGATAGAATATTTATATTTGATCAGAACGAAGTAGACATTAAATTAGTGGAGATACCAGTAGTGGAAGTGGTTTTCCAATGTTTCCGACATTTTCAGACGGAATATTTAATTTACTACATAAAATCTAAAGCATGGATCACAGAGTAACTTCCATATCTTTAAAATAATTGGCTTTGAAAAAAGTTTCTAATTTAAGGTCATTAAAGTCCGCAGAATGGCCAGCAACCGAGAATGGTCGAATACTTTGTTTAGAATTAATTAAAACTTATATTTATTCCTTTTCTGATGTTCGTTTTGTTACGAATTTGTTCTGGTGCCATATTTATTTTGTGAACGTGTGCGCCTTGTTAATGTTTATAGTTAGCCTTCAAAAATAGTGTTTATATTGATTCGAAAAATCAGGAGATGATGTAATCGTGTCCTGATATGTTTTAGAAGCACACATTGAAGTAAAATCCCTTCTATACTATCTCCTGTTACAACGCTTCTTTGTGTATTTCATCATTGCTAAATATGTTACCATCTGCACGCTTATAATTTGTTTAAAATCTCAACATATTTCTATCCGATGTAGTCACCATCATATTATATTTATATGTAATAATTTCAAGTAGCCACTGAGTCGATCTGCATTAAGTTTCGCTAACTTCTTTACTGCATATATTATAGAAGTTATTGTAGTATTATTAAAATATGCTTATTACTTGTTAAAAATTTTAATATATACGAAAGGGCCTGCTATTGTTTAAATCAAAAATTAAAAATTAAGAACTAAAACATAAAGTAACTTTCTGTTACGCGTTAAGAGAAGTAATATTTGTATTTAAATTTCGTATTTCAGATTCTAAAACTTGTTTCTCAGTGTAACGTTGTGTGATTGCAGTCTGTCAATGGTTATTCTTCAAGGCAGTAATTAATATTCTTATATTTTAATGTATTATTGTGTATCCTAACTAACAGCGTTGTGAAGCCTCGTAATATTGGTTCACGCTTGCTGTATAGAAAAATTCCGTCAACCTACCGACGAAAAAATGTGCTGGCAGCAAACGTGGTGGTTGAATATCCTACACGTACAAAATACACGCCCTCAGTATTATAGGACAACTCATAAAAAACGCAACATTCTTTCTGAAACTGGCATGTTTATCTTTCAGGTAAAATAGTTAGCATGTTTGTAAATTATGTTTTATTGGGGAATTTGTGAGCTTGTAGTGCAAAGCATATTGCATGGCGTACAGTTTCTGTTTTTTAAAGTAATTGAGTTGTTTATTTCTTTAATTTTGTAATATAATATTAAAATAGCGCAGAAGCTTTAGGTCTTAGTAATTTTGGATAGTAAATCATCTGTATTTATTGCATTTTTTTATATCGTGAACTAATAAAAATATCCTTAAAGTGAAAATAGTGTTGTAAGCACTCGTCAGCGTTTCTGTGGAGTTCATAAGGAGACAAACCACAACAGGCAACGAAACTTATAAAGAATAAAATATCGGCGTTTTCGTTTACATCCAAAATATATATATATATATATATGAATATATTGATTGTTGCCAACTGCATTTCTTTACACTTCGAACGAACATTAGTAAGTGCCTAACTTACAGGACAGTACAGTGCCACAACTAAAAATACCACAGTCGACTAAATCGTCAGCGTCACGGAGGAAAAAAGTAGTGTCATTTATTTCAATACCAAATATACGATCCAGTCCTATAAATAATGCTGTAGTAAATCCAATTTGGGGTGATAGATTAGTCCGTTGGCTGATGTGAAAATATATTGGTGTATTTGTTCCAATTGGAAAACATATAACATTTAATAATAATATTAATATAAAATTACATACTCGTCTTTACACAATAAATATATTAAGTTGTAGTTTAGAATTTTAAAACATCAAGCAGTACACATGAATATAATAATGAATTTTAATTTAAATCAGAGAACTTAGTCTAGATGTTTATTCCGGTACCAAGTTTTATTATGTACTGTCAGATTCGTAAGTATTTGCTGCTACAGAAGAAGACTTCCTGTCCTTATAATTTACCCTCATACATTTTTAGATAGTGTGGGTTATATGGGGAAATCATTTGACGCTTAAACCGTTTCTGCACTCAGTATATTGCTACGTAGTTGCTGCCAGTTCATTTTATTTTGTCAGCGTTGACGGAATTATTTTTGTTACAGTGTGGCGGTTTCCATTGTTTTGGAGCGACGGACCGCAAGAGGACGGCTAGGGTAAGTTCTGACGGCTTCGAGAATTCCCTTTTTGTTCCTTAGTAAACAATTCTTTGATTCATTTATTTTCTTCATTATAAGCATAGCTGGAAATGCTTGCTACTTCTCAGTCCAAAATATTTTGTCTTCCCGTCTGATTTCTAAGAACCTGAAAATTAAAGTATACAAAACAATAATCTTGCCTGTTGTTTTGTATGGGTGCGAAACATGGTCTCTCACTCAGAGGGAGGAACACAGATTGCAGGTGTTTGAGAATCGGGTGTTGAGGAGGATATTTGGGCCTAAGAGGGAAGACGATGGGGCGTGGAGAAAACTGCACAATGACGAGCTTAAAAATCTGTGCTCCTCCCCCAGTATTGTGAGGGTGATTAAGTCGAGAAGAGTGAGATGGGCGGGACATGTAGCGTGCATGGATGGGACAAGAGGTGTGCGCCGGGTACTGGTTGGGAAACCTGAAGGGAAGAGACCGCTGGGGAGACCTAGACGTAGATGGGAGGATAATCTCAGGCGGGATCTATGAGAGATAGGAGTTGAAGGAAACTGGATTTTGTTGGCCCAGGACAGGGTCCGGTGGAGGGCTTTGGTTAATTCGGTGATGAACCTTCGGGTTCGGTAAGCCATCTGGTTAGTTAGTTAGTTATAAGCATAGTTGAGCTTCACAGTAATGATCATGGGAGTTAAGAGTCTTGCTAGATAAGAACTGGACGATTTGTAGAGACAAGGACAAGGAATTTCTTAAAGATCACTGACTTCTGGGATGTTGCAGTCTGGCAGATGTTGACCGATGTTTCAGGCGATATTACTTCTGCCATCATCAGGCAATACGGTCCTACATCCGATAATGCAGATGTCTTTTTTGTCATCGTGAAAACCTCAGATCTCACAAAGGGATTTCTTAATCATATGAGGGACTAGTAGCATCTCAAGATGAGGTCTGCTCCATGAATTAGTCTGTGTGGAGTCTGTAAACATGGCTATTTTGAGACATAATTGTACGTAATGTATGCCTTATGAACCTCATTTTCACTAGAGGCCAAGTATTATGAAGACTCATTCCTCCGTAAAGTACAGCCATCACCTTTCATTGCTGTTTGACTGCAATTCATGCAGCTGGGTGCAAGTGTGGACGAAATCTCTCTAAGAACTTTCACGAAAGTTGGAAACCGATACTCGCTTCTGGAGAGGTTTATGCGGTGGCGCTGATAATCTTAGCTTTCCCATCGACACTGTTAGCATGACTCTTGGTTTCAGCTGTACAGAGTGAATGTTAATTCAGTGCCTTCGAATTTTTTATGCTGTACAGTCCCGCCCAATGTATTACAGTTTCTTGTGATGTTCTTCTTTTAAGCTCGTGATACAGAAATACAGGGCAAAAACATTGAATGCTGTGCATTAACCAACTAACAGCCAGTTGCTGGTTTGAAAGTGTACACATTTGTAAAAAAGAAAAAGGATTATAATGAAGTACAGTCACATTCAGAAATGAGTGTATGGAATGTCAGGAAATAATAGAAAAATGGCGTTTTGTAGTATGAAGGCCTTGTAACTTAAAAATACACTAGTTCCAACATCTCAAGGTCTGTCATGTCTGTCTCTCCGTCCACGTGATTTACCTCGAGAACCGTTGGATGGATTTGGATGAAATTTGGTACAAAGTTTATGTCATTTTGAACGACCCTAAAATCGCACTTTAGAAATTTCCTGCAATATTCTGGCACCGATAATAGCGCCACTTGTAATTTTTTTTTTATTTAGTGTTCTGTCTGATGACAGGTCCATATGAACAGGATCCTTCTTCCATCCTTTTCTCGGACTGGGATCTGTTCATATACGTTCTTGGCAGATGATCCAGAAGTGGTTTGCCGTTGCCTTCTTCTGTGTGTGAATGGAGTAATTGTTGGGATGCCACGGAGAAACCGGGGAAGCCTCCGTGTTGCCTAGACCACGGCCTTGCCCAACACAAGTTATAAATTCGGGCACCGCCGGGAATCGAACCCGAGACCCCAGGATTACAAGGCCAGCGTTCTAACCGCTAGACCACCGTGGCGGTTGTTTTCAAGTAAGAGTGTATAATGGTTGTTGTGCGGGATTGCATAAGATAAAAAAATCGTAGGTGTTGAATATTCATGATGTTTTTGGTATTCGTTGGATACACTGAATGTATGGAAAATTTACATCTTCACTGAATAAGTGAAGTATGAAGATACCTCCTGTTTGATAAATGAACTTTGCTTTCGTTTTGAAGGAAGAGAAACTTAAAACGATATATCGATACTGCTAACGAGTCGGTAGTATTTTGCTGCAAATTTATGTGAGTGCTTATATTATCATTACAAGAATTAAAATGGAATTACGGAAACAATTTTGGCTTTGAGAAAGTCTGTGGACGGTGGCATTTGACAGTAAAAAGCTTCATCACGTCTAATCGTTACGAGGATGTTATTAGGGTGATAAATTCAAGGTTGATTAGATGGGCCGAACATGGGTGACATTATAAAGCTATAGAAAGCTTTTATTTGTAAATCTGGAGAGAGAACTTGGTAGACCTAGGTATAAATGGAAGAATGAAATAAAAACAGAAATGAAAGGCCAGGAATGTCTTAACCACCCCATGAACTATCAGTTTCTCAGGAAGGATATTGTTTTATGAAGTTATTTTACTTCGATATTTAGAGATGTTAACGAATTATTAGCTGATTTCGGCTAGGTGCTGGTTGACATACGTATTTTAAAAGTGATCTTAATTAAAGGACAGAAATTTCGCGTGCTGCCTTGCTCAAAGAATGTCGTAATTTGATTCAGCATTTGTTTTTCTGACATTACACAAGTTTAATTTTAACTAATTTAATTGCAATTATCTTGATTGCTACCCGTGTTACACTGCCAGCGAGATTTCGTTTGGTGGAACGTGACAAACGCAGGTTTCTATAAAATTGACATTAACACCATGAAATGAACAACGTTAGAACGGAGAGAGAACGTAGATAATTGACAGCTCAGTAATGTTCTGTCTATCCTTGGAGAGACATCCAATTATTGTAATCAAATGACGTTATTGTAAAAATTCATGGAATTCAAAGTGTCATTTCTTTGCAAGAAGGCCTTGCAGGAGTTGACTTTGTTTTTTAACAGAGATATCTATTACAGACCAACGTAAAAGCGTACGTTTGGTACTCTCAATGCTTTTTTGTAAATATAATACTGCAAAAATTGTTTTAATTTTTCAACACAAGAAAGTTTCATACACGTTAACTTTGACGGGCAATAAACTATGCTATTGTTCGGAATGTTTCTGGTGCCACTTTTCGGCACTTCTGTAACTCCTTTTGGCGTCAGTTGGTGGTATATTTTTTTAGGAAACACCCGGTGTTCACGACGGATTTCTACCCAATTCTGACGCGCTGAAGTGAAAAGCCTTTCGAACTATTTACGAAAGGTTGTGCAGAGAACGTGAAGAGGTTTCTGAGGGTTACCATGGCATCCGCCGACCTCCTATTGTCTGCTTTATCCTCGTGGAATAATTCATGGCTTCTCCCCACTGCCCGTATTAGTTGGCTGAGGTGCGTGTTCTTTGGGGCCAGCTACACGGAAGTGCACACACCAAGATTAAAGAGAGGAAAAAAAAATGATTTTGAGTTTGCTTCGCCTGTATATTTGATACGAGTTTAGATAGACGAAGATTAAGGAACGTTGCAGTTTGGTTAGCAAAGAATTTTCTCTCGGTTTTGAATGGCGTCGTGATATTTCGAGCATGCGGGAAGCTGATTTTCGCGTATAATTGGCGTCTTTATCTCGTCTGAAACTTCTTTTTCGCAATGAAGTGTTGGAGGCATGGAACTTCATTAATTCAGTCTGTAGATTGTTATCATTTTAAAAGAATCGGGTCTGTAACGATCGCTAAAAGAGAAAATAGCTACCTATCTTAAAGATGCTTTAAGTTGGCACGAAAGCACGTACTTTACTACAGTTGGCACGAAACTGGGAGAAAGATTATGAACGAATTCATATATCAGGCCCGTCCGTATTATTGAAGCCTGTGATTAGGTTTGTTGGAAATATGAAGAGAAGCTTACGCATATTGACTTCAAAAGCCTTGGATGTCTTCTGGGATGAGTCATTCATGGCCCTGATAATGGAGGCAGCAGTGACCTATGAAATGTTGTCATACTTCCACCAGGCTGCATGGTGCTACAACCCAGAAGACAGCCGTCTTTGTACAGACCGCCGTAATAACCTCAAATCCTACTTCAGAAATCTTACAAATAGGACTTCATCAAAGGAATTACATCCGTGTATAATATTTCATTACCTCCTTTTGCGGAATTTTCCCCGTTTATTTTAATAACAATATACTAATTCATTCAACGTTTTCGTTATTCATATTAAAAGTGTTTCTAAAGGCTTCCTAATAATTGCGGTACTTTTAAAAAAAATTGGTTTGTCATCTAGGGTCATTTATCATGACATTTAGGCTACTTTTAACATGATAATACAAACACAAATCTGAGTTTTGTGTATTATATAAGTTTTCTCAGTTTTTAAACAACTAAGCATGAAAAATCAATCAAGTAGTTTGTTCTTGAAGACATTTCCATTATAGATTAAAGTTTGTGAATTGAAAAAGCTTCTTCGTCCTGTGAATCTTTTAGGAACACATTCACTGCGTAAACCGAGATATATGCGTGCATTTAGAAGGGCCTTTAGTGTAATTATCCCACACTCTTTAGCCAATTACTTGTCGTCCTATCCCCCCTGCCGTGTTTCGTCGTGTTATACTCATTACTGTTGATTGAAACAGGATGCCACATCTGAGTGAGAGGAGCACGTTGGTCGGCGTTGATAAAGGCAGAGCTGTCTGTAATTTAAGACAGACAGACAGACTCCCTGCGCTCCTCCCTGTTCGGAGTAAACACTCCTGCCAACCGCGAAACATTCGGCGTTACGGCGTTGAGTAATATTATAATTAACATTTCAATTCTTTTTAAGAAATTCATTCAAAG